ATAAAAAAATAAAGTAAAACTCCTTAAAAACATGAGAAGAAATTAATATAACTCTTGGGTCAGCAGGTGGCATCGTTGGTTAAAGCTCTGGACACTCCCATATGGCCGATTGCAGTTCGAGTCCCAGCCCTGATGACTTGCTTTCTCACTATCCCTCTCTGTGTGTGTGTGCCTCTCTCCGGTAAAATTTAAAAAATGAATAGGGGTCAGCAGGTGGTGTGATGGTTAAGGGCACTGGACTCCCACGTGGCCAACCATGATTCAACTCCTGGACCTAGTGGCTTATTTTCTCATTCTCTCTGTCCCTCTTTGGTCAAATTAAAATAAAATAAATGAATAAATAAAGTTAAATAAAGTAATCCTTTAAAAAAATAAGTTGCATTTTTAGAAAGTCCCAGGTGATGTTGATGCTGCTGGTCCCAGGATCACACTTTGAGAATTACTGGGATGAATGCTGGCCTGAGATGAATCATGTAGAATTTGAAATGAGTGAATGAAAAAACCTCAAGAGGAGAATGGAGCAGGGATTGTGGCATAGCTGTACCTCCCCAGGGACTTATTTTTCACTTATTTCCTGTGTCTCTCTGTCTCTCCAATGAGCACATATGCCCCATATCAAAAATTTCACTTAAAAAAAATCATACTGGGCATGTATGTGCCCAAAATTTCTCCACCGAGTCCGGGACATGAACCATGGTCGACTACATGGGAGTCCAGCGACATAGCCATTACGCTAACTGCTGGTTCCCCCAGGAGTACATATTGAGTATAAGAAATGTTCATACCAGGGCTGGCAAGTGGTGTGGTGGTTAAGGCCTTAGACACCCACATGGCTGACTGCAGTTTGGAATCCTGGACCTGGTGGCTTGCTTTCTGGCTTTTCCTTCCTCCCCCATCCTCCCTCTCTGGTCAAATTTTAAATAATAATAAATAAAATAAAACATTTAAATGACTTTTTAATGTTTATATCATTTGATGGAGTATTCCACTCCAACGAAGTTTAATAACCAAAATACATTTCTAAAAATATGTGTTTTAAGTCTCTTATTACAAGAAAAATAGGCAATAGCCTTTTAAGTCTCATTACAAGAAAGAAGGCAATAGCTGTTCTTTTACTACTGGACATTTGGATCAACACACTATACTATTAATAACAGGCAAAAACAAAAAAATCTCTACTGCAGTAAATAACTAGTTTTCTCAAAACATTAGACCAGTTTGTAAATCAGGCATATCAAGCAGGGTGTGTCCAGACTACTGCAGTCAGCCATTTTAGACCCTTTGCAGAACAAAAAAAAAAACAGAAGTAGATAAGGATACCCTCCCCTATACTAGTTCATCAAAGCAATAATTTTCTTCAGCTCTTACACTTGTAAGCCTGTACTATGCACTGAGTCAAAAGCAGTAAATAGATCTCCTTCCTTAAATATTAATAGTTTGCTTAAGTTACGAAGTTTGAAATCATAAAAGAGAGTTCTTTAAATTTACCACCTCCTTTTAGGTGATAAATCATGTTTAAGAACACAGGATTCTGGAGCCATGCCACCAGGATAAATAAATACATAAATAAATAAATAAATCTAGTCACAGCCAGTCAATTGGCTGTATAGCCTTGAACAAATTACTTAACCTGTGTCCCTCAAATCTATCATTTGTAAAAAAAGAAAAGTAATGTTACTATTTCATAAGACTGCCTAGAGTACTAAATGAATTAAAATACCCACATACATAAGTACTACAGATGTAATTATCATAGAGAAATAGACCCAGAGAATAAAAAAGACCAACAATGTGAGATCATAGCTAAATACATTGTAAAAGGTTTGTCTTCTCACTTTAGAGTCTGTGTCCTTTCTGCTACAGATCTATATCTAAGTGCTAACTTGTTAGTTTCAGTATACAATAGAGCCTCATTAAAGTCATGACAGTCTAGCTGCAAAAAAAAAAACAAAAAAAAACTTCAATCTCCTCCAGGATGAAACCGTGCTGACAGTTTTACAGAAAAATGATAATTCAAAGGGCTAGCCCAGGTCACCTTCATACCACCATTATCATTAACTACGTTTCAATCTCTCAAGTCAGTTATGTCCTTGACAGCCATTTGCCCAAATCCCAGGTTTAAAACGAAATCTAACAAGCATTTAGCAACACAGCCAAATCCTCACCACTGTGCTCTCAGGGGGAAAAAATCAAGGGCTTTTTGGCCGTCATTACAGTGGATTCTGACATGGCGACCTCGGTGTTCAGCTACTCTGATGGGGAAAAAGTGAGTCCAAAGCCCAAGATCTGCAAGCCAGAATTCTCTGAATATGTACTGCCTAAATGTGACTTCCTACATGCTGCTGCAAACATTTACAAAATATTCATCCCTACATTTTGAAATAATTTATTTAACTTTATTTATTGTTATTTTTAAAGAATTACTTTAACTTTATTTATTTATTTATTTATTTGACCAGAGAGGGATAGAGCGAGAGCGAGAAGCGAAAGCGAGAGGGACAGTGAGAAAGCAACCCGCCAAGTCCGGGACTCCAACCGCAGTCAGCCATGTGGGAGTCCGGTGCCCTTAATCACCATGCCACCTGCCAGCCCCTACTGTTGTTATTTTTAATTTGACCAGAGAGAGAGAGAGCAAAACGAAAAAGCA